CCCTATGGGGCCAAGAAACGTTTGAGGGGTGTGCCGAAATGGGCGCGGTGGCGCCGTGCAAACCCTGCCACTGGGGCCTTCGGTGAAACTCCCCATGTGGCCACGAAACGTGTGACGGGTATGTCGAAATTGGTGCGGTGGCGTCATGCGAACCCTGCCACTGAAGCCTTCGTTGGAGCTCCCCATGGGGCCACTAAGCCCGTGAGGGGTATGCCGAAATGAGCGCGGTGGCGCCTGGGGCCTTCGTTGGAGCTGCCTATGGGGCCACAAAGCCCGTGAGGGGTGTGCCGAAATGGGTGCGATGGCGCTACCTATGGGGCGACGAAGCGTGTGAGGGGTGTGCCGAAGCGGACGCGGTGGCGCCATGCGAACCCTGCCACTGGAGCCTTCGGTGGAGCTCCCCATGGGGCCACGACGCCCGTGAGGGGTGTGCCGAAATGGTCGCGGTGGCGCCATGCGAACCCTGCCACTGGGGCCTTCGGTGGAGCTCCCAATGGGGCCACGAAGTGTGTGAGGGGTGTGCCGACATGGGTGCGGTGGCGCAATGCGAACCCTGCCACTGGCCTTCGGTGGAGCTCTTATGGGGCCACGAGGCGTGTGAGGGGCGTGCCGAAATGGGCGCGGTTGCGCCATCTGAACCCTGCAACTTGGGCCTCCCGTGGAACTCCCTATGGGGCCACGAAACGTGTGAGGGTTGCGGCGAAACAAAGACATGCGAGGAGCAGAGGCGAGGAGGGGGGCGAGGGTGGACTGGGAGGCGGAGAGGAGAGGAGAGCGGAGGAGAGGAAAGGAGGAGAGGAGAGGAGAGGAGAAGAGATGAGAGGAGAGGAGAGGGGAGGAGAGGAGAGGAGAGGAGGAGGAACGCGGGGCGCTGTCTCTTCAAAATGAGGACACAACACCACAGGATGGTTGGGAACAGCTCGATTTCGCTGCCAACGGAATGCCCCCCCAAAGGGCGCTCCCTCGGGCCCCCCTTCCGAGACCGCTCGAAGTCTGGGTGTGCCTCGAGCGGAGCCACGACCGAGCCCGCTCGGCGGCGAAGCGGGCTCAATTGCCACCGCCCTGCTGGAGCTGAGCCCGTCTGGCTGTCCACTCGGCGGCCGAGCGGGCTCAGACGCCGAGGCCTGCTGCACGCAAGAACGACCCTGGGCAAGAGTGCCCTTTGGTGCAAGGCTTTCGGGGGCCGTGTGGGGGGGGGTCGAGTCCAAGCGCGCCAGCGGGTGCCGAGGGACCCCTCGGGGTCCCCACCGAGGTCGCTCCGGCGAAGGGCCACTCTTACGTGCAACCAGCGAGACTACTCGGGTGTACGTCCTCTCGACCTTGTCCGCACGGGGGGTGCGCCCTCTAAGGAACCTTTTGCCAACACCCGGGTAGAAGGCCAACCAAAGACCACCGGCCAACACCCGGGTAGAAGGCCAACACCCGGGTAGAACACTTGGATGCCCGTCGGCTGCCCACTCGGCGGCCGAGCGGGCTCCGACGCCGAGGCCCCGTCTGACTGGCCACCGACACTCGGCCCTTGGGCGTTGCTTCATGTGGGAGCGATTCGTGGGGGGGAGGGGAAGAGACGGGGGCCCCGGTAGGGCACTTCAGGTGCAACAGAGGTGCCTCGTCCTTCAGCCCCCTCCATGTATCGCCCCCCCCACCCTCCCAGGAGGCAACGCCCGAGGCCCGTCTCGCACCTCGGCCGCGGGGCGCCCGCTTCGGCCAGCAGTCATCCGAAGCGCGGCCCTAGGCGGCCCGTGCGCTGCGGCGGCGCGGGGCAAGGCAGCCAGGGGAGCAGGGGGGGGGAGGCCTGCGCGTACCGCACCGCGGCGGTGGTCACGCCCTGGCGGAGGCCCTGACCGACCTCGGGGGCCGTCGGCGGGGGCTCGCGGCTCCTCCTGCCTCCCCCTCTCCGGCCTCACGGCTCTCTCCTCCTCGTCCCTCTCCTCCTTCTCATCCTCCTCCTCTTCCCCCCCCTCCTCCTCCTCCTCCTCCTCCTCCTCCTCCTCCTCCTCCTCCTACTCCTCCTCCTCTCCTCCTCCTCCTCCTCCTCCTCCTCCTCCTCCTCCTCCTCCTCCTCCTCCTCCTCCTCCTCCTCCTCCTCCTCCTCCTCCTCCTCCTCCTCCTCCTCCTCCTCCTCCTCCTCCTCCTCCTCTCCTCCTCCTCCTCCTCCTCCTCCCCCCCGCCTCCTCCTCCTCCTCCTCCTCCTCCTCCTTTCCTCACACTGCCATCTTACCTTGTCCTGCCTCCTGCCTGTGCCTGCCTCACCCGCTCACTGCTGACGTTTCGGTTGCAAGACTCTTGAGATTAGGGTTGCAACACACACTCAAACTTTCAGATCGAGCTAAATCCTGCTTGCTACTTGGCCATCCTCCACCGATCTCTTTTATCCTCTCTGCAGTGACACAATACGAACGGCTTTCTCTTCTCTCCGCAGTTACCGTCTCTGTTTGCGCCGCCCATCTCACATACAATTGTTCACGCGCAAAATTACCCAACGGTGGTGCTCGATATGTTTATCGAGCCAGAACTCTCCCGGGCCGTCAGAACTTGTATTTTGGCTGCAAGTATTGGCCACCTTCTAACTTTGTCATTCATACCCCGTCCAAAGGAGAGTCGCTCTCGCTGCATCGCTGGTCGCACTCTAGAATCAGCAAGAATGGGACTCCCGCACATTGGTTTGCCATGTTTCGGAATTACAGTGGAACTTCCACTTCCGTCCAATGGAGCGGCGCTCTCGCCGCAACGTTGCAACACAACATGGACCTCCCGTTGAACATTTCGCCACGTATAGTGATTTCCGTAAGCCCTCCGTCCCCCGGGGCGACCCTCTCAGTTCCCGCTTTAGCGTTTGTAACGTTTCTGTAAAAGTGGGCCTTCTGGGATCCATGCTTTCTTCGACATTCTTCTCTGCGAACAGGGGGGGCTGAGCTCCAATTTAAGGGATGGGATGGGCGGGCATGATGTACGATATGGCGCGAGCGCGCCAATCTTGTTCTTCCTCTTGCGACCTCCCCTCTGGGTTTGTGAAATTCTTGGCGTCTTTCTGAACCTCTGGATACCTCGGGAGCCTGCAGCGGAAGCACCGAGGCACGGCCAAGGAGCAATCGCAAAGGGGAGTCAGCCACATAACTTTTTCGACTCGGCACCAATTTGTTGTCTTGTGATTCTCAATTAGAGTGCGATCGCTTTTTAGGAGTCGCGATCTCGCTCGGGGCTTCCTTCCATGCCATTCGTCGCTCAAGAATCGCGCTCTCGCCTGGGACCTCCTCGCAATTTACGCAGGTGCCCCGCCCTTGCCTTTCAAGAATCGCGCTCTCGCCTTGGACCCCTTTCACTTTTCCACGAACCGCGCTCTCACCTGGAAGATCTCGTGGACTTGCTTAAGACTTGGCTCTTGCTGAGGAAACCCTCGTTCTTTCCAAACAGGCATCGCGTTCTTGTAAATTGCCTGGGGCTTCCTCGCCGCCATCTTTCCTGCCGCGCCCGGCCGACCCGCCCGTCAGGGTCCGCCCGGCCGACCCGCCCGTCAGGATCCGCCTGCCCGACCCCTACGCTCCCGCTTCATGTCCCGCCCGCCCGACCCGCCAGGCAAGGACCGCCCGATCCCTTGCTTGGAAGCCCGCGCGCCCGCTCTGATGTCCCGCCCGCCGGTCCCGCCCGTTAGCGTGACCCGCTCGTCTTGCCCAGTCGAGGTTTATCCAGGGCCTGACTTGGACAAGAAGAAGAGCCCCAATGAGGTGCGTTCGTAAACGAAGAGGGCGAGAGTGAAGGGTTCGGGGCATACATGTTGATTGGCAAGCAGGTAACTCACATCTGATTCATAATCATTGTTGGCCCGCCCCCCTGTCCGATGCCCATCGTGTTTTCGCACATCCGGGTGGGCTCTTGTTTCTTAGAACACCCTCTCACAGGGAGGCCCCGCCAGATCGCGGCAGTGTATTCCAATACCGTATTAGTTATCCGGTGTTGCGGCTCTCCCACCCCTCCACGGAAACCCCGCCAGACCGCGGCAGGGATTCGAGTGCAATACTATATATGTATATGTATATATATATATATATATATATGGTTTCGTGCACCTTCAGCCCCTCCAGGGAGGCCCTGCGAGACCGCGGCAGGGCATTCGAGTACCATATCATGAATCAGGTTTCGTGCCCTCCCAGCCCTCCAGGGAGGCCTTGCCAGAACGCGGCAAGGTATTCGAACACCATGCTATTTATCCATTTTCGTGCCCCCCCTTCCCTCCAGCCAGCCCCTGGCAGGGTAACTATTCGAGTACCGGTTCGTGCCCCTCCAGCCCCTCCACGGGGGCCCCGCCAGGCAGCTGCAAGACATCCAAGTCTAATAATAATATCAAGCTTGGTGTCCTCCCACCCCTCCAAAGAGGCCCGCCAAACCGCGACGGAATATTCGAGTACCATGCTACTCATCAGGTCCCGTGCTCCTCCCAACCCTCTGGGGAGACCCCACCAGACCGCGGCAGGGTATTCGAGTACCGTACTATTTCTCATCAGTCGTGCACCTCCAACCCCTCGTGCACCTCCAACCCCTCCAGGGGTGTCCCTCCAGACCGCGGCAGGGCATTCGAGCACCATACGATTTCTCTGTTTTCGTGCTCCTCCCACCGCTCCAGGGAGGCCCCGCCAGATCGCGGCATTGGTTTCGAATGCCATCTTGTTTATCAAGCGTCGTGCCTCTCCCGATCCTCCAGGGAAGCACCGCCAACCCGCGGAAGGATATTCGAGCACCGTCGTAGTTATCAGGTTTCGTGCCCCTCCAGCCCCCCCCTCCCAGGAGGCCTCGCCAGTCCGCGGCAAGGCACTCGAGTACCATATTATTTCCCCACGTCCTGAATGGGGGTCCTGTTTCCCTTGCACACTCTTTCCTTCTTTCCGCCCTCCTTCTCCTCCTGGTACTAATCTCTCCTCGCGCACGCCTTCTCCTTCTACACCTCCCTCCTGATGCAAGCGGAATTTCGTCCCACCTCTCCAGGGAGGCCCCGCCATACCGCGGCATAATCTTCGAGTAGCGCCACATTTGCCACGTTCCGTGCCCCTCCCACCCCTCCAGGGAGGCCCGGCAGACCGCGGCAAGGCACTCGAATCCCATCCTATTTCTCTGGTATCGTATCCCTCCGACCGCTTGAAAGAGGCCCCGCCAGACCGCGGCAGGGTATCAGAGCACCAGACTATTCGGCAAACTTCGTGCCCCTCCCACACCTCCGGGGAGGCACCGCCAGACCGCGGCAAGGTAGTCGAATACCATTCGACAAATCTGGTTGCGTGCCCCCCTCACTCCTCCTGGAAAGCCCTGCCAGACCGCGGCAGGGTGTTCGGGCACCATGCTCGTTACCAAATCTTGTGCCCCTCCCACCCCTCCCACCCCTTCACGGAGGCCCCGCCAGACCGCGGCATGATCCGAGTGAGGGGACTGAACGGTCATTCACTGTCTCTGGGCGCGTGGCTGAATTGAGGTTCCGCGGTGCGGATTGTTATTGTTGTTGTTGCTGCTGCTGCTGCTGTTGTTATTGTTGCGTTGTTTGTTGCTTGTTGTTTGTTTGTTTGTCGTTGTTCCACCAGCGACCGGGCCCGCGACCCACACGCGACCCACCCGCGACCTGGCCCGCGACCCCACCGCGACCCACCCACGACCCACTCGCGACCCACCCCGCGACCCACCCCTGACCCACCTTTGACCCACCCTTGACCCATCCTTGACCCACCTTTGACCCACCCGCGACCTGGCCCGCGACCCACCCGCGACCCACCCACATTGCTTTAACGAAAAAATCGGCGCCCGTGGCGCTCGTTGTATACTTTAAAATTCGCCGGCCCAACGGGCCAGAGGCGTGCTAAGATCTCCGGTAACTGGTAAACAGTATTTCTAGTTCGCGCGCGCGGGGCGGCCCCTGGGGGTCCCTGGATCAAAAATACCCTGGGCGGAGCCCCGGCGGAGCCTGGGCGGAGCCCGGGACACTCCCCCAGATCCTCCAGGATCGCCCCAAGAGGGCCCCAAGAGGCCCCCAACACAATCCAAGAGAGGTCCGAGACGCCCGAAGATCGCTCCACGGCGCCCAAGATGGCCTCCAGACGGCCCAAGACGTCTCCAAGATGACCCAACAAGCCTCCAAGATGCCCCAAGAGGCCTCCAAGAGAACTCCCAAGAGGGCCCCAAGAGGCAAAAACCTGTGCTTTTCCTTTGGTGTTGGACAGATTTGGGCGTTTTAACCTTTTCGGTTCCCCGACGCCCCTAAACGGCTCAAGAGGCCTCCAAGATCGCCCCAAGAGGGCCCAAGAGGCTCTCAAAAGGGCCCCAAGACGGCCCAAGACGGCTCCAAGACGGCCCCAGAGGCCTCCAAGACGGCCCGAGAGGGCCCCAAGAAGAACGCCCCCAACACGGTCCAAGACAGGTCCGAGACGCCCGAAGATCGCTCCACGACGCCCAAGATGGCCTCCAGACGACCCAAGACGTCTCCAAGATGACCCAACAAGCCTCCAAGATGCCCCAAGAGGCCTCCAAGAGAACTCCCAAGAGGGCCCCAAGAGGCAAAAACCTGTGCTTTTCCTTTGGTGTTGGACAGATTTGGGCGTTTTAACCTTTTCGGTTTCCCGACGCCCCTAAACGGCTCAAAAGGCCTCCAAGATCGCCCCAAGAGGGCCCAAGAGGCCCCCAAGAAGAACGCCCCCAACACGGTCCAAGACAGGTCCGAGACGCCCGAAGATCGCTCCACGACGCCCAAGATGGCCTCCGGACGGCCCAAGACGTCTCCAAGATGACCCAACAAGCCTCCAAGATGCCCCAAGAGGCCTCCAAGAGAACTCCCAAGAGGGCCCCAAGAGGCAAAAACCTGTGCTTTTCCTT